AAAAGTAAGGGCGGTCTACACTAAGCGAGCATTTGCTTCGCGAGGCGGCCTCGCGAGGCAATTCGCTCAATGTGGACGCGTCTTTTGGTGAATGCGCAGCGTGTTATCTTAGAATATAGTACCGATGCAACGTCTTATGTGTATTTCCAGAAAAAAAGAGTGAGTTTTATAATGAAGTTTTTAATTTTTTTATATATTTATACAGGGTGTTTCAGAATAAAGTACCGTTATTTTGGTGATTTGTAGATGTTAATCAATTATAAAGAAAAGCTAAATATAATTTTCCTACAAACGTCTTAGTTTTCATTCTACAAGGTGATAAAGGGAATTTTATAAATACATATTTTCTAAATATCTTCCCTTACAGTAAAGGCTTTAACATAAAAATATATTTATGATAGGTAATCGTTATTATTAGTTGACACACTATTTTAATGAATTACCATAACCCATTGGCGTAGAATGAAGGGCTAAAGAAACAATTTTATTCAAAACTTTTTGAACACCTTACATTCCATAAAACTTAAGATTAATAAATATTTCTCACGTCATTTGTCACAAAAAAGGGACTTCTGGTTGATCTTTGTAGACTATTCCATTTCCGAGGTGATTTATTTTATATAGAGTGTTTTGAAACATGTCTTAAATGTGGCTAATTTTAAGTTCAATTTACTCAATTTTGTCAAATGCAACACACTGTATATTATTTTCGCATAAAATTCCTTATAAATTTACCTATCCAACGATACCAACATGTCCCAATAGTGCGTAATTGATTGATAGCTGTTTTATTATAAAAATTATATAACCATGTTTAATAAATATTCTTAAATATACAGGGTGGTCTAACATACATTTTTATATTTGTTTTCACATCGTCAAACAACTTTAATAAACTTCATTTATTTGCTATGTTACATATAGGTTGTTTTAAAATGAGGGGTAACGATTTTCTCATTTTTTTAAATGGAATAGCTTATATGTCATACCACCAATTAATTAATACAGGGTATTCCATTTAAAAAATTGAGAAAATCGTAACTTCACGTTTTGACACACCCTATATACAACATAGCAATTGAATGAAGTCAATTAAAATTGTTTGACGATGTAAAAAGAAACAAATATGTATTACTACCTACAGTATTTTTTTGCTTTAAAAAAGTATAGATATGGTCAGCACCTCGTTTATGGACCACTCTGTATATTAAAGTATATTTATTGAATATGGTCATACAACTTTTATAATAAACATTTCTTCGTATTTCTATTAATAAAACAGCTATTGATCAATTATGCACTGATGGGACACCCTGTATATGTGTTATTGACTAACACATTGGTACTGTTACATGGGCAAATTTATAGGGAATTTTATGCCAAGATAATATACAGTGTGTTTCGTTTGAAAAAATTGAGTAAATTGAACTTAAAATTAGCCATATTTAAGACATGTTTCAAAACACTCTGTATAGAATCAGTTATATCACCTTTATTTTTATTCAAATGTCAGACAGCCAAGCGGCACTTAAGGCCATAGTGAGTCAGAAAAATACGTCGAGGCTTGTATGGGAATGCATCGAAGAACTAAGAACACTGGCAGATCGAAATAGAGTAAAACTATTTTGGGTGCCAGGTCACCAAGGGATCGAAGGCAACGAAAAGGCTGACGAACTTGCAAAAAGAGGATCAGAAGAAACACCGGAACTAGACACAAACCCAGGAGTACCAAAAAGTACAGTCGGGGTCTCATAAACGACTGGATTCGGGAACAACATATCAACTATTGGGGAAGCACCCCAAAACAGGCACATGGAAAAGCCTTCATGGGCAGACCATGTCCCAAAAGAACTGGAGAACTACTCTTAATGAATAGGAACCAGTTGAAAGTAATAACAGGGTTCATGACTGGGCACGCCCCAGTAAAGGGACACTTGAACAAAATTGGCATGTACAATGGGGAACTCATGTGCCGACTATGTCACAAGAAACCAGAAACGCCCAAACACATACTGTGCGAATGCGAAGCTCTAGATCGCAAAAGACAGGCTCTTTTTGGACAACCCCAGGTTGATCAAACAACGTATAGAACCCACTACCCAAGGACAAACTTGTACAAGGTACAAAGGTGACAGAGTGGGTGCTATGAACTAACATGGGGTAAACAAAATAAGCCAATAGGCTTCAGTGTTATTCGGAGACACATAGTCAGACGAGCCCAGGGAAAAAAAATCACCTTTATTCGTTAGCTCAGTATTTTATAAGTCTGTATATTAAAGAATTTTGAAATTAATGTAAACCTACCTAAATTATGATAATTTAATTTAGGGCCTTCAACATTTTTTATTTAAAAAAAAAAATAAATTGTTTGGCAACACTGTAATATTTTTTAAAAACATTCTAGGGTTAAATACAGTATTCCCAAGCCATTCTAAAAATAAAATATAGAGTGTTCTATTTAAAAAACATATTTTTATATAAAAACGCAACACCCCGTATATCCAAAAATATTTTTAAATATGTATTTTTCAAATCCATATAACTTTTAATAAAACTTGTTTGTTTGTCAATAACACTAATTGAAATATTGAACAATTACGAACTAATGGGACCCTGTATATAAATTTTAATTTTTAATTTGCAGGAATATTATTATTTTAGATGACAATGTTTGATAAACTCTTTGTTTTATTGTATTTATTTTATCTCTCTATTTTTGTTTAATATAAAGTTTAAAACAATATTGATGTTGACTATGGATTGGGTGGGGTAATTACCCCCATTACCCTCCTTTATCTACGCCCTTGTGCGGTAAACCCTACTTTACCAATATTTTAGCTCGGACAATCGTAGATAGGTCGAAAACCACGCGATTCCACCGGTTCACAACAGTGAATACACACATTGCATTCGGAATATAATTTTTCAAGTAGACAGATAATTTAAAAAAAGACAACATTGACTTATCGCCCAACACTTACTATTATTTGTAACCAAATCGTTTGAAAATTATTTTGTGAATGAGCTGGCTGAATTGATGGACAAAAAAATTTGTCGAAATTGTCTTTTGTCTTTTTTCTGGTAATTTCCTCAAAAAACGCATTTTTTGCTTGCTATCTTAAAAGTATCTTAAAAGTATCTTAAAAGTATCTTAAAAGTATCTTAAAAGTATCTTAAAAGTATCTTAAAAGTATCTTAAAAGTATCTTAAAAGTATCTTAAAAGTATCTTAAAAGTATCTTAAAAGTATCTTAAAAGTATCTTAAAAGAATCTTAAAAGTATCTTAAAAGTATCTTAAAAGTATCTTAAAAGTATCTTAAAAGTATCTTAAAAGTATCTTAAAAGTATCTTAAAAGTATCTTAAAAGTATCTTAAAAGTATCTTAAAAGTATCTTAAAAGTATCTTAAAAGTATCTTAAAAGTATCTTAAAAGTATCTTAAAAGTATCTTAAAAGTATCTTAAAAGTATCTTAAAAGTATCTTAAAAGTATCTTAAAAGTATCTTAAAAGTATCTTAAAAGTATCTTAAAAGTATCTTAAAAGTATCTTAAAAGTATCTTAAAAGTATCTTAAAAGTATCTTAAAAGTATCTTAAAAGTATCTTAAAAGTATCTTAAAAGTATCTTAAAAGTATCTTAAAAGTATCTTAAAAGTATCTTAAAAGTATCTTAAAAGTATCTTAAAAGTATCTTAAAAGTATCTTAAAAGTATCTTAAAAGTATCTTAAAAGTATCTTAAAAGTATCTTAAAAGTATCTTAAAAGTATCTTAAAAGTATCTTAAAAGTATCTTAAAAGTATCTTAAAAGTATCTTAAAAGTATCTTAAAAGTATCTTAAAAGTATCTTAAAAGTATCTTAAAAGTATCTTAAAAGTATCTTAAAAGTATCTTAAAAGTATCTTAAAAGTATCTTAAAAGTATCTTAAAAGTATCTTAAAAGTATCTTAAAAGTATCTTAAAAGTATCTTAAAAGTATCTTAAAAGTATCTTAAAAGTATCTTAAAAGTATCTTAAAAGTATCTTAAAAGTATCTTAAAAGTATCTTAAAAGTATCTTAAAAGTATCTTAAAAGTATCTTAAAAGTATCTTAAAAGTATCTTAAAAGTATCTTAAAAGTATCTTAAAAGTATCTTAAAAGTATCTTAAAAGTATCTTAAAAGTATCTTAAAAGTATCTTAAAAGTATCTTAAAAGTATCTTAAAAGTATCTTAAAAGTATCTTAAAAGTATCTTAAAAGTATCTTTAAAAGTATCTTAAAAGTATCTTAAAAGTATCTTAAAAGTATCTTAAAAGTATCTTAAAAGTATCTTAAAAGTATCTTAAAAGTATCTTAAAAGTATCTTAAAAGTATCTTAAAAGTATCTTAAAAGTATCTTAAAAGTATCTTAAAAGTATCTTAAAAGTATCTTAAAAGTATCTTAAAAGTATCTTAAAAGTATCTTAAAAGTATCTTAAAAGTATCTTAAAAGTATCTTAAAAGTATCTTAAAAGTATCTTAAAAGTATCTTAAAAGTATCTTAAAAGTATCTTAAAAGCATCTTAAAAGTATCTTAAAAGTATCTTAAAAGTATCTTAAAAGTATCTTAAAAGTATCTTAAAAGTATCTTAAAAGTATCTTAAAAGTATCTTAAAAGTATCTTAAAAGTATCTTAAAAGTATCCTAAGAGTATACTAAAAGTATCCTAAAAGTATCCTTTAAAACTTTAAAGTATCCAAAAAAGTATCCGGATACTTATATTCGAATACATATTTAGGGGTAAAAAGTATCCGGATACACTGTAAGTATCCGGTACTCGGCTAGGTACTTTTTTCTGTATCCGACCTAACTCTGGTAGATTGAACGAATATTATCAAAATTGCATTCAGTTAGATAGTTTTTTTAAACGACCGAATTTTTTTTTAAATAATAAAAATAGGTACGTCATGGCGTAGGTACTTAAACGTAAATATTCAGACAAAATAATGTAAACTTACTCTCAAAAAAATAAATAAATTCTTTACCTAAATGGAGAAGTCGATTGTGAATTCCTAGTAACCTGATATTCATATGGTTGCCACAGCAAAGAATTTAAAGCTTCCTCTACGTTTTGGTGAAAGCTGTTTCTATTTTTCTTGGCATTTTCTAACCTACTGCTACGGAAAGGGGACGACATGTTAGTTGTATCACATTGATTGTTCTCTGAACTTAAATTGTCCAGATAACAAGAGGCACTTTTTGTTAGATACTTGTGGCAGTTGTCCGTTCCTAATGTATTAACGTTTAAAGTTTTGAGAGAGTTTAGGTTTGCTGTATCTCTGAAAGAAAAAAAATACACATTAGTAAAATTGGATGAAATCATGGCCGTTCGCAGAAAATTTTTAAGAAGAAGACAAATCAAATATTTACTAATGGTAATATATTTATGTTCAGTTTTTCATAAATTAATATTTTAACAATAATGTGAAACTAAAACTTCTTTCAATGGGCTGGTAACTCAAATGGAAAACATGAGGAAGATAATTTAGTACCACTCTAATTAACGAGATGGCGCTCATATCGAAATCACAGTTCTCAGAGTCAGTTGTCAGTTTTCAGAGACTTTAAAATGGCTGTTACAGTTGAAGGTAATTGGATTTTGATTTATCTAGATATATTTTTCAATTCCTTCCAAATATAAACATCTTTTTAAAAGATGGGAAGATGCGTTTTAGCAACAAACAATAAAGCACTCACGGATATTGTTAGTGATGCAATTTATACATCATATTAAATATGCGGTCGTCATTTATAGGATAACCAAAAATTAAGAGCGAGCGTTTAAAAAAAATATAGTTCTTGCACTGTTTTGTAGCAATGGTGAGAAATAATTATAAACTTGATTTTGATTCAGTGTTAAAATAATTGGTTTATTTTAATTTCTTTTTCTTTTCAGTTTTTAATGATCATTGTTATTGTAAAGAAAATGTTAGCTCTCCAAAATACCCTGTGCATCGATGAAATCTGTGAACTTCGGCCATCAGCATCAAAAATCAATATTGGTTAGTTAACAATAAATAGTTTAAGCGTACGGGCACAGTTTAAAGAATAATATTTTTTAAACTGTGGTACGGGTATGTTCAGATTTAGGCGTCTATTCTGTAATATTTCGTTCAGCAACGGTTTCGTTTGCAAACGATGGGAAGTCTAAACGTAAAATTGTAAAATGTCATTCTGTATCTCTTTCGTTGTTAACGAAAGGTGAACGTTTTCAAATGGGTAGTAGAATCGTAGTAGAGCACCATATCACAGCGTTGTCAGATTTTTGAATTACATTATAATTAAGTGATAAAGGTCGCAGCTAATATCCCTTCTTTGTAAATAAATATCCGTTAACGTTTTTAAAATCTACACCACTATATTATTTAATATACTACACAAACTTATAAATGTAAATAATAAAGTACTGTGATTGTTTTTATGTCAATACTTTTACCAACTTTGAAACAATTTGCAGTGTGACAACTTTGTTTAACTTTACTTTGAGGTTATGGCTCTTTGCTCTTTGTTTTGGTACGAATTTTTACTTTTACTTTTTTCACTGCTTGTGTATTGGTGTACTCTGGTGTAGAAAATAGACATTGATATGGAAGAAAAAAAAGAAACGATCAAACAAAACAAGTAGAAGCCAGTACGAAATATACTTAAACGAGCTAGAAAATAACATGTTATTTAGAGAAAACAAATATTCCGCGGACGAACCAGACTATTTAAAAAAAAACCTGGAAAAGTTTGGCTCAGAAATTAAATAGTTCTGGTGGGCCTGTAAAGGATGAAGCCAGTTGGAAAAAGGTAAGTTATACCTACTACAAAAATAACTATTCTTTTTGTAAAAATGAATTTGTTAAATTTTTATTACATGTGCATATTTTTAGACATTTTCAGATTGGAAGTTCCAGGTTCGAAAAAGGGCCAGAATTATAAAACAAGCACTAATTGCAACAGGAAATAAAGGGGAGCCAGAAAAACCATTAACTGACTTGGAAAAAAAATTACTATTTCTAACAGGGAATGTAGTAATTGAGGGAATTCCCGGAGTTCCAGATGTGGGTATCAACTTACCTGGTCCCTCAGAGGTTCAAGTAGTGGAAAGAGCAGATTTGGACATCAATTCACCTGGTCCCTCAGAGATACAAGTGAAGGAAATACCTCCCTTAATAGAAATTCCCCCCCTCTGTCACTCAAACCCCACAGGGAAGTGCAAAAAGAAAGCGTGTTAACCAAACAATAAATTCAGCATATAAGAAAATGAAGGGGGAAAAAATACAGAAAATCATGAACTGAAACGATTAAATGACAATCTTGAAAAATTAATCGAACTAAAAAGAGGAGAAGTCTGGCTGATTGCCAAAAAAATAGAATTAAAATATAACATAATATTTGAAGAGGAAAATTAAATAAGTAGGCCGTTCATTTCTTGTATACTTATCACTGAGAGGTTCTTTTGTTTGTGCAGGTTACATTGTTTTACTGTTAAATTATTTAATACTTAATTTTTAGTTTTTTAGAATATTTACTTTTGTTTTCGCTAAGAAATGATTTGTATAGGATAGATTGTTAATTATTTTTTAAAGAATACCTAATTTTTAGTTTTGACTGATAAAAGAATGTTTTTTTATTTTTTTAATATACTTATTAAAAATTGTTTTACTTAAATTTTATTTGAAATCTTAACAAAAACAATAGACATATAAAATTATGTAAGATTGTTTCCAGTGTATAAAATTAGATAAAAGAGGGCAATATATTTACACAGAACAATTTAAACAAATTTATTAAAAATTATATAACATATTTAAATCAATTAGAACATTGTATCAGACAAAAAAATGAAAATTTATTGAAAATGATTTCTAATTAAATTGTTTCTTACATCCAAACCTTGTTGATATAAATTATCATTTTCTGGATATTCCTCATCTTGTTCTTCCTCAATAATTTCCATATCTAAAATTAAATTATTACCAGTTACTAGTATTATTTGAAACTAGTAGGTATTGTTAGTTACCATTCTCAAATTTCAAAATATTATATAAAGTTGTGCAGGCAATAGTTATTTTTGCGGCAAAATCTGGTTTATAATGTAAAGTTCGATCTTTTAGTAGACAACGAAATCTTCCCTTTAATAGCCCTATACATCTCTCAACAGTATTCCTTGCTAAACAATGAGCAGCATAATATCTACCTTCGGGAGAGTCTGGATCAGCTCCAATTATAGGGGTCATGAGAAAAGGCTGCACAGGGTAACCAGAATCTCCTAAAACATTTTTATAATTAAATTAATTGAAGGTATTTTTGCAATGAGTACAATTTAATTGGTGTTTTAATTTATTCCCTAATAAAAAATATTTACCTAAGAGCCATGTGGTCCTATCGCCATCCAAATATCTACTATGTAGAAGTCTTTTAACTCTACACATTTGCCAAATAGCAGAATCATGAACGCTGCCTGGATATCTGGGATTTATATTAATAATTTTTAAATTACTATCACAAATCTGAAATGTTTAATTGAAATATCAAACTATTCTAACTTAAAAAAATAAAATCTTACTATTTGACAGTTAATACTAAAGAAGTTTTTTCTGTTTAGGTATACTAATCGAGGGGGAAAACTCCAGATGCTGGGGGAAATAATGAAATATGAGTCCCATCTATGGCACCTACTACTCCAGGGAAATTGAACTTTTCAAAAAATCTAAAATATGTGTTAATTAAAAAATTTATATTACAACTGGGTACAATGCCACAAACCCATTTTTCACCTCGGTAATTTCTTCTATTGTTTGAGGAAATTTTATTACTCTTGGTGCCAAATTATTTACTATAGCTTCTGTTACAATATGCAGGCAACGGCTTACAGATGACTGCGACAAAGAACTGTGTCGATCTCCACCAACTGATTTTTGGTAGCTTCCATGGCAATAAAAATGCAGGGCTATAATAAACTGAAAGAAAAAAATGTAAAGTATTATTTATGCGTAAATCTAGTTCACACTTACTTGTACAACTGGTGGAATCCTAGTAAGTCGTTGACCAGCATTCAGAAAAGGTTCTATTTCCAAAAACAACAGCTGTGTCTGAGCTCTGGAAAATCTATACATGTTTAAAAATGTTTGTTCTGGGAGGAAAAAAGGATTATCCCTTAATTGTCTCATAATTCGATTATTTTCCCTCCTAAAAATATATAAAAATAAATATTTCTTTTTGAATTATAATAACTATACACCATACCTTCGATCAATTTCGTCTTCAAAAATGTCCATAATTTTTACTTGACTAATTTTTTGATAAAAATAAACAACTTTCGGTACTCAACGTCACGTTTCTGAGTGGCGTTCATGAACGGCGATTTCTTACGAACAATTCGTTAGAATTTTGGATACAGAATAACATTTATCGTTCGTGAACGATATTCGTTTGTGAACGGCATCGTACAGACTTACAGATTAGATGCCTTTAGTAGTGACAAAAAATGGACATTCGCTTTGAGTATTACATCTTTTACATTTTTATAACTTTTATTATTTTGTCATTGCAACAGTGTAGTGTTAAACCAAACAGTTAACTAAACTATCAATTAAACTGAAACAAATAAATTTAAATAAATTTATGGTGACTTTGGAAATCTAGCTGTTGCATCATGGTAACTCTTCGCGCTTGTGGGAGCTATTACATAAAGGGTCTTTCGTCTGCTGAAACACTGGACAATACATGCTTGAAAATGAAGACATCGAACGAGTTATTTACTCAGAGCCACCTGAACTAAATATTGAGATAGACGGTTTGGAACTCGAAGTAAAGAGCATGGAAAACCGATTTTATCAGACGACATTAGATTTGACAGAGTGGACCATTTTGTGAAAAAAGCACCAATTTGACAATATGCACTATGCCATTTAGATCAATATTTTCTAGTTCATGGCCGTCTAGATAATTTTGTTTTAAGGAAAATTTGGTAACACTGTCAAATTTTGACCTTAGATTCCAAAAAATATAAAATATCAAGTTTAAAAAAATGAAATAAAATTTCTAGTAAAATCGGAAGCCTGTCATTATGTTTAAGTATAATTGTCAATTCGAAATTATGTCTATGTTTTTTTTTTAATTTAATTTAATGCAAATCGCCTAATAAATTAAAGAGATATTAACATAACCATAGTCTCATTATCACCCAGTATAAGACGCTTTACTCTCCTTATACTTAAGTGATTATGCCAAACTTCAAGTTTCTCTTTTCCGATTTTATTTGCCGACAACAAAGGGAAGTTTAAAGTTTTTTAAAGATTGAGCAACTATTCGCTATCTAACCCTCTTACCTTGTACTGAAAAGAACGGGCGACTTCTTGAGACAAAGCAACTTTGGTAAACTTTGTTTCAAACTACTTTTTTCCATCTTATTACACTTCTTCTTTACACTAACGTGAACATTTTTGTTTAGGTCGTGTACCAGTCTTGTCTCCACTTCAAAGAAAGCGCCGTTGTTAAAGTTCTGGTTCTGGGCCAGCGGATCGGGGTTAGAGCTGAGATAAGAGAATTTGTTGGGGTTAGTGTGCCATGTTCTAATCGGCGACAATCCTGACTTCCGGTTTGAGGGCTTCCGGCCTGCCGGTGAGTCCGGAGGTCGACCTTCTTTTGAATTCTGATGAAAAGTTGCCATTAAATCATCAGGTTAGACTGGGTTAATGGGGCATAGCCATTCTGAAACAAATAAAAATGATTTATGAATTATTTCAATAAAGAGATCAGAAAAGCTGGACATTTAATTCCAATTTTATATATTAAACAAAATATTTTCTTTATTTATACTATATAGTAGAAGTAGCGGTTACGTCTATGGAAATAATATTTCCTATTTTACTATTTTGGAACTATCATTTTACAAAGTATGTTCAGATGTCACAGGAGGCCGGACGAATAACAACATTTTAAATTTTATGTTTCATATGAACAGTGGCGTAACCAGAAATTTTTCAGGCCGCGAGAAGTGCTTTATAGATCTCAGAAATCCCAGATACAGTATCGTGAAAAAATGCCACAACATACTGGCCGCCATGCTTTTTTAATGTAGCACTGATGACAAGGCAGAATCGGCGCAAGTTTAGAGCCAACTGTGGGATCGGCGTTGGTCGGTGTCTAGAGTGTCTTTAGTAGGGTCCGACAGTGACGTCATTGCTACCGATTAATCGGTATATCTACCGATTTTGATATTAATCTATACAAATCTACCGATATACCGATTTTTTTGGCAATCTACCGATTTTTCAAATATAGTTTGATTATATTATGCAAACATTTACTTAATATTGCATTTTGTACCAAAAAGTACCTATCTACATAATATTTTTTGACAAACTTTCTTAAAACCCAACTCAACTTTTTTCTTAGGTTAAACGATTTTTAATTAGAAGTAATACAAGACGTCACTTTAAATTTCTATCTCTTAATGTCAACAAATACGTAACACGATGAGTTTAATAAAATGTATGTCTTGAATTAGCACGGTTGCAAATTGGCGCCACCTCATCGACAAATACTATAAAATATTGTGAAAAGTCCATAGTTTTTAAATATTTGTTAAATATCACTAATTAAAATATTATATATTAAAAGTAAAACAAACTATAGACTTTTCACCATTCTTTACCGTACTCTGAACCCATTTTTAAATATTATCGTTTGGGGCTGTATTTTTTGTAATAAAAAAGTAGCCGTCACTTGTCATTGACAACGCGTTGAACTTGGACTTTTCTGACGATAAGATGTCCCTTTATACAACATACTTTACATACGCCCATCCTAATTGCCTAATATATTATCGTTGGAATTTTAATTCTATCTGCGGCGCGGACGGACAACACTTACTAGGGGGAAATACACTAGCAATCGGAGATCGGGGAATCACAAGCAACCAAGTTATAATTAGGGGAATTTTAGAAAGTAAAAGATAATTCCCAATTCGATAGTTTTACAGTTTTCAGTTATAGTGTTTTCTAATATTAACCCTTAACTACTACAAGTTGGGTCACACAGACCCAACAACAAATTCATTCTCCTCCCACTCTTTAAGACGTAGCCGTCTGCTGTTGTGCTCTCGTGTATTCTCCCATCATTTAGTTCTGCTTGAGACGTTAGTGCGTGCGTGGCGGTTATTAATTAACTTTTCTAAATATTCTAGTGGTCGGGTCTCACGGGCCCAGTTGTAGCATCAACGTACCTTTTCTGGTGTAAGACAGTGTCAGGTAAATAGGCAATACCGTGTTTTTTAACCTGATTATTTATTTATCTTATGAAATTCACACATTTTTATGGTATTCAGCTTTTCTTTTTATTTTTAGTTAAAATGGCAAAACATACACTAAACGACAAAGATATCAATGCAATATTTGAGACTGAAGACTATTGGAATGACGAAAACGATGACGAAATTCCCAATACTTCAGCAAGTTGTGCTGATGATAATAGTTTACTAAATAATAAAAATATCCCTAGTACTTTTTCAAATATTGATACCCAAAAAGTCGAGACTGGCAAAAGAATTATTGAAAATGCCGACGAAAGTGATCAAGATGGGAGCGATGTCGAAATTTTTAGCGACCAGAATTCCTGTAGCAAGGAGGAATGGCAACCATTTGCAGATGAGGATTTGTTATCAGAGGATGAGGTATATGAAGAAGAGGAAAGAAAAGAAGAAAGACAAATAAAGATGACAGAAGATAAAGAGGATAAAAGAAGCGCCTTCAACTACCTTTACGGAAAAGATAAAATGAAGTGGTCCAAGATCCCCCCCAAAAGTAGTAAAACAACAAGGGAAAATATTGTAACTGTTTTGCCAGGACTAAAAAGGCCAGCTTGCTTGAACCCTCCTAAGACAACCTTAGATGCGTGGAAGCTTTTGATTAATTCTGAAATCATTGAAAAAATTGTAATACATACTAATGAGAGAATTGAACTGATGAGAGATAAATATTCAAAATTCAAAAGGTCGAGGAATTCTCGACAAACTTTTGGACCGTCCTTTGTGAATCTAGTGAATAAAATAGAAATTGAAGTTTTTTTAGGCCTTTTATACATGCAAGGAGTTTTCAAGTCAAGATATTAGGTCCATGTGTGCCACCAAAGAAACAGGTCGCGAGCTTTTTAGATGTACGATGTCACTGGCTAAATTCTTGCTTAAGATTTGATGACTATGAAACTAGTGCTGAAAGAAGAAAAACCGATAACCTTGCCGCCTTTTCGGGTATATTTTCGGAATTTGTTTAGAATTGTAAAGCAAACTACTCTCCAGGTCTCTTTCTTACAATTGATGAAATGCTGGTACCCTTTAGAGGGCGTTGCGGATTCGTTATGTATATTCCTAACAAGTTGGCTAGACTCGAAGACATTTTATATGTGCAACGCTGAAGTTTATACCGGCAGAAATAAAGCACAGTTAAGAAGATCAGACCTTTCACAGCCTACCCAAGTAGTTTTGTGCATAAAAGAGCCCATAATCGGCTCAAAGCGTAACGTAACTAGCGATAATTGGTATACCTCAATTGAATTAGTACGAGAATTAAGAAAAAATTATATTACTTATGTCGGAACGACGAAAAAAAAATAAAAGGCAAATCCCCCAGAAATACTCCCAAATAGAAAAAGACCAGTAGATTCGAGTATCTTTGGATTTACATCTGATGTTACAATTGTCTCGCATGTACCAAAGAAAGCTAAAAGTGTAATTCTAGTTTCTTCCATGCACCACGACAATCAAGTTGATAGTGACTCCAAAAAACCATACATAAATTTATTTTATAACTCGTCCAAATCCGGTGTAGATTCATTGGACCAGAAATGCGCTAACTATTCCACATCGCGACGATCCCGAAGATGGCCAATGAGCTTATTTTTTGCTCTTCTAAATATATCAGGGGTGAATAGTAGAGTTCTTTACCAGTTTGCCAAAAATGGAAAAGAAATTCCCCGCAGTATCTTTTTGAAACAACTGGACAGAGATTTGTATTCACCGCATATGAAGAGACGAGTCTATAATAGCTTTGTCTCTCGACCGATACGACAAATGGTTGCCAATATTTAGAAAATTAAAATGATGGATACTATTCAACCTCAACAAGGTGCAGGAGATAAGAAAAGAAAAAGATGTGCTTTTTGTGTTGTGAAAAAAGATAGAAAAACAAGTTATGTTTGCGCATTCAGCAAAAAACCGATTTGTTTGGAATGTACCGTTAAAATTTATCCAAATTGTAAATAACTTACATTTGAATTGTTCATTGTATTAAAATAATATACATTTTCATTTCCTTTTAAAAAATACATATTATTCATAAAAAATATGAATTTTATTGACAAAACAAGATGTGGGTCTGAGAGATCCACTTGTACCAGTTACCAGTTACATAAAAGATATTTAGTTGTAGTAGTTAAGGGTTAAACATTTTGTAAAAAAAATGTCCCTTTATTATTATTTAAGTTTTTTTCTTTTAAAAATATTAATTATATGATGGGTTTTTAAGTTTTTCCTTTTTAAAATGTTTGTTAATGTGTGTTTTAGAATTATTTTGTTACTTTTTAGTGTTAAAAACTTTGTTTTCTACAAATTTTGTTGGATTTTTGATATCTACTGTTTTTTACTGAGATCTACCGATTTTTCTCGATAATTCTAACGATTTTCGGTTGACAGGGCCTGGTAAAACTGGGGGTCCAGATTATAATAAGTCGGTACTTTATCATTATCAATTGGCGGAGTAATTCGTTAGCTATCGCCGCTTACTGGGAGTTTAGTGGAGTGTTATTATTATAAAAATGTAGGAATACTATTTTTAAAGCTAACTACTCACATATTCTTTATTTGTTGATAGTTATAGATGATTATTGGAAATTCTTCTTATTGCAATCGGACTTTCCTTTTCAGTACCAGTTTTTGTCTGTTTATTAAATGTTTAAAGGAAATGGTTCGAATGTAGGTTCCCTTTTTATTATCTGAAGTTTCTGACGTGTTTTGACTAAAATGGAATGTAGTGAAAAATCTTTCAACAACATTAAGTAAGATATTTTTAAAAACCTTTTTGCTTTATTCTAAAATAAATATATTTTGCTAGACAAGATAGAAAAAAAATATTTTTGGTAAACCGGACCAGACGGTTTGGAATATGGGCCAGTGATTATCGGTGTCTCTATTTATGAACGCGGGACGAAGCCCTTCTGGACTGTTCGGGTTGGGTCTGCGACAGTTAAAAACATTTTGACTTTTATCATGCTTTTACCCAATACAATTACTCAGGAGTGGTTTCTCCATTGGTTCATTTGTGCAGTGAACACTACATTTCATAAAAACACATTATTTTAAAATAAATAACATAAAAATATAAATTCAATTTTATTAATTTTATTGTTTTCATACGTGTTAATCTCTATTTTTGGTACGCCACTTCGCTCTGGCTAATCGCGTCTCTTTGGCTCACTTTTATGAGTGAGCCCGAAGGAAGGAGATATTTTCCCGAAAGCCTCTGGCGAAAAATAGATGTCAGTACGTTAACAGATCCGAGAAACGAACAATGACCTGCATAAAGTCACTAAAATTACCTTATTTTGCGCAACTAACACAGTGACATCTCAAAGTAGGGCGGGGCATACGAATTTTTCAAATCATAGATATAGAAT